CTCTTCTCGAGTCTCCTCTACTTTTGTCTTTGTTTTACCCCTTCCTCTCACCTTTGCTTTCGTCTCACTTCTAGTCTTCTCTTTCACCTCTTCTTTAGTCTCTGTTTTAGCCTTTTCTTTGACCTCAGGTTTGGTCTCTGTTTTAGACTTGTCTTTGACCTCAAGTTTGGTCTCTGTTTTAGACTTTTCTTTGACCTCAGGTTTGGTCTCTGTTTTAGTTTTCTTTTGGTTTTTGGATTTAGTCTTACTTTTAGTCTCTTCGACCACTTCTTCCTCTCCTTTCTCTTCCTCTACTACTTCTGGTATACCCTTAACTGTATTCATGTCTTGATTGAAGTTATCGTTGTATTGATTCTTCAATTCTTCGAGTTCTTCGTCGTCATACTCGAAGTCTTTCTTTTTGTTTTTCGTTTTATATTTTTTCGACATTTTTTAAGTTTATATAAGTGTTAAACGAAAATCACTACAAATATTGAACACAATAATAATGATTACAATTAATAACAATTCAAATGAATACTAAATCAAAGCAATCGACTCACAAACGACTCAATGCCTCAATGAATGACTCAATGAACACGTGTTACGCATAACGTAAATACTGTAAAGTTTGGACGCAATGCTTGAATTGTCCACAAAATGCGTGACAAATAATAGAGAGGTGTGTGTGTTGTGGGGGTATTGCAGACAATACTGTCATTACAACCAAATAACAGTAATAAACAAATAGTTGACAAAAAGTTAATATATTTGTCACATGAGTCGTGAATCATTGGATAATGACCTCTACTTTTGATTATCTCGTCAAAGATGTGATTATAATTAAGTAAACATTTGTTTTGAAGACAATCCAAGAGGTGTCGAGTGAATCAAAATGAGTGACAATCCGTCCGAAGAAGTGTTGGATCCACACCACCAACCATATCATGATCTCATCACAGATGCCAGTGATTTGTCAGCTTTTGTGGACCAATTGGTAAGACTTGAGACCAAACTTTTGATTTGCATTCAACTAACCATTGATTTCTGACAAAGACTTTGAATGAGACAACTGTTGAGACAAAAGCGTCGGATTTGAGGTAAACTTGGATTCAGAGGATTCGTAGGAATTGTTTTGAGTGACAAAGTGTTGTCTCTTAGGACTGGTTTAGTATATTATGAAGAGATGTCAGAACATCGATGTCTTTGGGACGACAACTATGAGGAGAATCCCAAACGCTTTACGCATACTTTGAATCGA